GCTAATCATGCTTCAACTAAAGTCTGGCCATCAGGTGTTTGGATTACTTCATTGTATGAAGTTGCTTCACTTCTATATCCCCTATCTAGAAGCATATTTTGAGAGCATAAGTGCTTTGAAAATTGAGGGCTGTATACCACATTTTCTAAGGAAAGAGTGGAGCCATTTTCTAGCTGCAACACTACAGTTCCTTCACTGATAATATTGACTCATTGTTTTCCAGCAGTATTGGCTAACTGCAGAGATTGATACTTTTTAAAGGATAAAAAGTCAGAATAATATGGGGTCACATGATGTGAAGCCCCTGAGTCAAGCATCCAAATGGACTCGCCTTTGGGAAGTATGATGTTAACTGACATGTCACAAGGGTAACAGTCGTAAGCATTGTATGCATTGCAGTCGAATTTGCCAGGGTTGTAACCACTGACAGAATTCTCCAAGTCAAAATCAAAGTCTGGTACATCAAGACAAATAAAAGGATGAGGATGAATATAAGTCCTCAGATTTGGTACACTCGCATGAAATTCTGCTAATGATAGTTTAAGTGGTCTGCGAGATTTTTGGGAAGACTTGGTAGAATGTCTGTTTCCTCGAATAACCTGTGACACATCATCTGCAGAACTCCTCTCTCCTGCCATGCATATATTAACCAGGCTGGTAGCTCCCATTCCATTCTTGGATTGGATGGGCGAGCTATGTACAGCCCTGGCTCTTGACTCAGTAGAGGGAAATGGAATCCTCCTCGATAGAGGATCCGGGTTCTCCCATTGTAAGGATTCCTGAAGGGATAAACCCATTCTGAAACCTGTTGATTCTGAGGAGCGGTAGGCATGCATGCAAATAGTGCAAAAGCAAGGAGAATTAGATTTTGGTATGTTGACACAAGGAGTCACTGACTCAACTTCAGAAATGAAGGAGTTCTGTATCTCCTCCTGATACCAATCTGAGAGAGTACCATCGGGTTGGATAGGTAAAGTTGGAACATGTCCAACATGTTCCATGGCCATTTCGATATCCTCAGTGGTTAACTTGGGACTAGGAACCTGAGAAGCGAGGATAGTATGGGAACCGAGAGTGGTTTCCATTTCTGGATGAGAGATATTTTCATCATGTTGATCTGGAGAATACTCTGGAGAGGTATGGCAGAAATTGATAGCATTTATATCAAAATCATCATCAGGATTGTTTTCTGGAACTTCTTCAATTGATGTGAGGTTAAACTCCTCAGCACCTTGTCCCAGAATGTCAAGCTCGTTGGTTTGGGCTTTTGCCTTGCCCTTACCATGGCAACAATTTTGGTTTCATCCTCGAGTGGACGAACCTCCCTGTTGATTATTTTGTTGTTGAGGGTAAGGCTGGTAAGAGCCTCCCCCTCTTCCATGATTTCCTTGAAAAGCACCTCGTCCTCCACAGCCACAAGAAAAGCCACCTCCACCACAATGGTCTTGAGTGTTATGTGACCCCTTGCAGATATTGCATAGGGGCGGTTTATTCATGCAAGATAATAAGGAGTTAGACTCCTTTTTAATGGTATGAGAAGAGCCTGAAGACTCTCCAATATGTCTTGGTAACATTGATTGTCTGGAGCAATGAGACCATAATTCCTTCATGTGAGGAATTACTGCATCTGGGCCTAAGTGTGCGGGATCGATGGAAGATAATATATTTGTGGGAGCTTGGTCCCAGGAAGCTGTCATGGAATGAACGAGAAGTAATGACTTCATTTTGTCATCCAAGGTAATGCCTTGACCAGTTATGGTTTTAAAAAGCATATTAATCTTGGCAATTTTTGCCATGAGATCATCCTTGGGTTTAATTTGAATTTTAAGGAGTCTTTGAAACTCCATGAATGTCGTCATGGCAGAAGGTTTGCCATATTTAGACTTGAGATCATCCCATTTTAACTTGGAAGTCATGTGAGTGTCAACGGAGAGTGCAATCATCAGATCACAGTAAAGGGTGATGCACCCCTGAGCATGTGAATCCAAGGTCTGCCAGACTCGAGCTTCATCGGCATCAGCAGGTAAAGCTTCTGTTCCTGATACGATTCCCCATACTCCAAGAGTTTGAAAATAGGCCTTCATCATAACTTGCCAAACAGCATAGTTCATCCCATTAAGTTTCAGGATGTTCTTTCTGAGACCTCCTTCAGAAGACATTCTAATAAATGTCAAGGATGAGATGGTCATATAGGAAAGATTTCTGTGGATCAGTGATAGTGGGATTAAATTGTCCTTGGAGGATAGTGTGCATGTGTTTACGATGCTTGCAAGCACAAGACTTTTGTCTGGGTCGATTCTGAGTCCTTGGTGATCAGTGTTTTATTTTTGGCTCTGGTTCCATGCCTTTCTCAGTGTAATGCCATTCAGCGATGCAAGAATTCCACTGAACATTATACTCGAGAAAATCGAAGCATAAGTCAGGGAAATAGTGGTATGATAGGAATGACCACCCCATTTCATGAAGTCTGTGGGGGTTCGAAAATCCTAACCACTCAGTGGCACAAGAATATGGAAAAGGAAACCAGCCATAAATCTGATTACTGTACTCCCTAGAAGCTAAGATTTCGTATATGTTGTAAGAGCTATCTAGGCAGGGTTCTAGAGATCCATCAGGATACTCGAGGAATTGGCCTGCAGATGCATATGGTACATCCATGGTACCAGGGAGAGGATAGTTTGCATTTAACTTCGGTAGCCACACAAGACCGAGAAAGAGCACTGGCAAGTAGTCCACGATGTCTGGGTTTGCTGAAAGATGACCCAGTATCACAGGCCATCGCACGTTCGAGGTCAGCCAGAACCAAGTCTGTTCCTGGCCAGTAAACAAAGCAGCAGTAACCAGTTGCATCAAGGTACCAAAGAGTACCTCTAGCTTTGTTGTAACCAGTTTGGGTTTTGTCCATATCTCCAATCACCTTAAATCTGTCGATGAACTCCAATAGTTGGAGGTCAAAAAGATGTCCCCCAGGTTGTCGCTGTCTGAAGAAGAGGGGGATACAGTCAACATCGGTAATTCCTTCTCTCCAAAGTCCTCTGTAATGGCCTTCCAAATACTCATGCCAAACCCTGAGAGGAGGGATGAGCTCACAGAAAGGGTTTCCCGAGATGTAGAGGGGATGGCAGTTGTAATAGATATAGATGAACGTGTCGTGAGTGATTGTGGAGGCTGGAACAGTCCAGAGGGCAGGATCTTCATAGGTTAGACTGGGAAGGTCACAACCATTGAAGTGAGCGATAGCATTAGGAGAGGAAAGGAAGGAGATTTTAGGGGTGAAGTCGGTAAGATAACTGTGGTAGGCAGTATGGATACCCAGGAGTTTGAACAGCGTGTCGAGACCTGGATAAGTTGGGAAGCCATCCCAAGTCACCTCAATCTGGGAAAGAGGGACATGGGCAAGCAACGGCTGTGGGCACATGAAGAAAGATCTGCTACTAGGGACTGTGTAGCACCAGTGGGAACAATCATGAACATATAACACCTCCATATATTCCACAACTTTCTTCATGTACTCCTCTCTCCACTTATTCCCAGCATACATGCCATCACAAGTGTGGGCGGTGGCGATTTCGGTTCATTTTGCGACAACGAGAGACATGCTAAAGAAGACACATAAGATTCCGTTCATAAATAGTTTGAGATGCAGCTAAAAAAGCAAATCGAACTCGGCAATGTCATTGCTGACAGCGAGATCAACCTCAGCAATCAGGTGGTTAGCCTGAGCAAGCATGTCACCAAGTGCCTGTACCAATTCCTGAGGAGGAGTTGGTTCACATTGAGGGGGAAGAGGATTGGCTCCTCCTTCAACTGTGTAAGGCAGAACAGGATCAAGGTCAGCATTGTTGTCACGATCAGGAGTAGTGTGAAGAAGATAGTTGGGAGGTGGAGCCTCAACCATAGGAGGACAAAGTCCATCATGAATAAGGCATAGATCAGCTCCCATGGCAGCAGCTATATGAGCGTGTACCCAATAGAGATGGATATCACGCCATAAAGGACCAGCTAAAGCTGCAGTCCAGAACACAATCGAGCAGGCAAACATCTCCCTAGAGGGTCCATATCCTCCAAGGGACAAATAAAAAATGGTAGTATAAAAAGCCATGAGAAGCGACACAATGTAAGCAATAACGCTCCATCCCAGTGCATCTAGGCTGTCAAAAGGCATGCTGATTTGGCCATCGCCAGAGATCAGTAAATGCTCAAATGACAATAGCACACCAATGGTTAGATGTTGGGGCTCATAACCTATTGGCAGAGGAACGAGGACAAAGGGGAAAGGGGCAAGAGCTAAAGACAAGCACTTGCCTTTAAGTTTGAATGGAGTGTTGAGAGTAAACAGTTTTGAGTAGAGCTATTGAGGCTCATAGACAGTAAAAGAACAGTTGATTGTGAACTGAACTAAGGGGATACAGCAGAAACCCCTTGGTTTATATACATGCAGGTATGCGCACAGACCAGGTGATGCATATGGTAAGTAAAACTACTACCTACTATGTATAGTAATGAATGTCATGGAACATTGTAGAATAAGTGGAGTAAATTGACATCATAGTGGAGTCACTTAGAAAGCATGACATCATATGAGTAAAACTCATCTTATAAGCAAGTCTAGAACTGGTAATGAGAAACACCGTTAACCAGTATTTCCAACAATTTTCTAGTCTTCTTGGCTTAGATATATCATTACTTAGTTGTCTCAATAGATTCTGTTCTCTTTTCATTCTTCAAAATGCTGTATATGGTCAAAAAAAAAGTACAGATAGTAGGTTCCTTCCCAAAAAGTCACAAATAGTCACAATAGTCACAAAAAAGTCAAAAAAAGTCACAAAAAGGTCAAAAATAGTAAAGTGTTAATTTCCTGATGCATTGTAGTAGGTTGTATGTGCATTGGTGTGCTTGATCCTGATTGATAGTGTATGCTGATTGATTGTGTTCCCTGTTTGCTGACAACAGGATATGGTAAGGGCACTGTTGCAAGGAAACTGTTTCATCCCATGGTGTCAGTGTTTGGCACCTTCTCTTTGACTTGGCTGCAGTTTCTGTTTCTTGTCCTCATCCTGACAACACCACAACAGTGTCTTGTGGCCTGTTTTGAGTGGCCAAAGACATTGCACTCTATGAATACTTCATAAGCTTTGTTCTAGTATCTTAGTCTTGTGTGGTGCTGAACTCACCTGAAGTGGTATCCAGTAACTTTCCATATCTCAAGTGCAGCATGTTGTACTCTTTCCTTTTCATGGGTCCACAGATGCTAGACAACTGCCTTGAAACTCCACACTTGTTGAGCTGCAAAACTTTTCCCACAATGCTGTAAATAGGTTCTGAGGATTGTCATACTGTGTTGTGTGAGTATCCCAAGGGCAAAATCTGAAGAACTGAGTTGAAACTCACATGCATGTGTTGGTTCCCAGGGGCTGGGTGATCTGGACCAAATGCCTCCAAGAAGGATGAGGCAGCGTGGTTATCTTCTTCTCTTTTTCTTTTTCTCCAGGCTGCAGTGGTGATTTTATTAGCTTCCCAACATATTTCACAGGTCATTCTGGGGTCATCATCAGGGAGTATTCTCTTGCACTTGAACTTTGAACATATCCTTTGGGTTGATATTGTGGTGGGGTCCATGTGAAATGAATGTAAGGTACATGTGGGAGCAGTGTTATACTGTACCACAAGTCATGTAACTACCAAAAGTGGTAAGCAATTGGCAAGTCACATGAATCATGTGATGGGTCAGGGGTTGGTTGAGCTGGATGTGCTTCAAACACTTTGGTCAAGTGAGTCCAATCACTGTAAGTGCCCTTAGGTCCAATATAAATTAAGTCATTAACTTACCTGCTTTATGGAGTTCCTCATCTTTCTGGAGGCATGAAACCAAACCAGTTGTGAAGCCAACATCATCCACATTAAAGAGAAGTTCTATCTGGAATTCCAGGCATTTCTGACACCAAGTAGCTAGGTGGGTCTTGTCTCCTTTATAGTGCACTCCATCCTCACTCCAGAAGTGATCCCACCAAGGGCTTTTTGGAGGCATGGATTGAGGATACAGTGTTTGTAGAGTTGTACTAGGAATGACCTTAACTTTCACAATTGTAAATTATGTAAATGTTAACCCTGGTTGATCAGGTCTATGACCTGTCTATGATAAGTCAGTGCTCTTTGACTACCCATTGACTGGCCCTTATTAACCACAGGTCAGTTTGACTCTGACAACACTGAATGGCAGTAAGAGCTTGCTTTTTCTTTCCAAATTCAGTATTGAAGGACTACTACTATAGCCTGTATAGAGATGAAATTTTTGATAGCTATGATGGCCTGCCCCATATTTGCATGTTTCTCCTGCCACTGCACATCTGCCAGTATGGGAGTGCTTTAAAGGTTGAGAGCAAAGTATTTAAATGACTGTAGGAGAGAGCACAGGGAGTTCATCATGTGACTAAATGACCAGTTTATGGGCTGAAAGGGTCTTATAGGTCATAGTGTTTGAGACACTGGACATATGCACTCACATAGACATTTCTCCAAAATGATTTGCAGAAGAGCCTGACACAAATTTTCCAAGTTATGGGAATGAGAATGCTGCTGGACAGCAGCATTGAAAGCCTGGCAGATAGTGGCTGCAATACCAGAACTCTTGTATTCCATGACAGCCAGAGGGATAACATCTGTCTTGTTGGAGGCTTGTCCATTTTGCAATAAAAAGTAACAATACTCAAAAATGAGCAGGCAGTCTGAAGTAATGAGTATTGTCCAAGTAGAAGACTACAACTCACAAACACCATGCTCAGCTATTGAGCAAGTGGTGACTTCTTGTGATAGTGCAGTGGGGTTACCTTCAGTTGTAATTTTTCCCTATGATTGCATGTGTTATTGTGACAGGAGCAATCCCATCACAAAATGGGACTTACTACCTGATGATGGCCATCATGCATATCACTATAGCCAGAAGGAAAAGGAAATGATTGAATCACTCACATCCTGGTGAATCATAACCAAGATGATAGTAAGGTTAGTAAATCAGCAGGGATTCAGTTAGCACACCATGGAATTGCTTACAAGCTGAAATTACACCAGGGGGCAATGTGTGATGATGTCCACCCAGCAGATATGGATCATCTGACATCACTCACATCCTATCATACCATCAAGGACAACATGATTAGTCAACTTGGCATATATCCAGCCAATCCCAGCAGGAAATCACTCACAAGCTGTCATGGCACAAGCACAGTGCAAGTGGAGCCAGTCAGCAGACATCCAATCAAACTTGCTATCAAATCACACACATCCTGTCATGGCAGCAACAAGCACAGTGCAAGTGGTACCTGTCAGCAGACATCCAACCACACCTGGTGTCAGACCACTCACATCCTGTCATAGCACCAACAAGTACAGTGCAATTGGGGCCAGTCAGCAGACATCCAATCAAAAACCTGCCATCAAATCACCCACAATCTGTCATGGTACAAACAAGTACAGTACAAGTGGTGCCAGTCAGCAAATATCCAACAAAACCTGCCATCAAATCACTCACATCCTGTCATGACACAATCAAGCATAGTGCAAGTGGTACCAGTCAGCAGACATCCAGCCAAAGCTGCCACCAAATCACTCACTCTCTGTGATGGCACAAACAAGCACAGTGCAATGGTGCCAGTCAGCAGACATCCAACCACACCTGCCATCAAATCACTCACAGGCTGCATCAGCAAAACACAAAAATGTGTTAGTAACTCATAGCTGCCCATAGTATTTGCACAATTCCATATTAGTCCAAAGCAATGTCAAGCATCCTAGCAACTCATAGTGCCAGAGTAGACTACACCAGACTTGCCCAAAGTAGTGGCCAGCATCCAAGCAACTCATAGCACCTGAGTAAGCCACACCAGTGATACCAGCAATCCAAAGACCAATAGCTACCTAGCATACAAGGGAACAGACACACCTAGCTAATACAGCAACCTAGATTCCCACTGTAGTAGAGAACTTGGTAGATCTAACTTTGTTCCTATGCATGAAGGCAACAACACACAGACATAACATACAGCATTTTTTGATAAGTACAGGAAAGTAATAGATAGTACTAGTCTAGATGAATGGTGAGTATTTGACTACCAGCATGCTCAATAACTGTGCCTATCAAGATCCAGCATAAGTAAAATAGTGGACCAAAAGAAAAGAGCAAGCATAGCATACCATCGGACTTGAGAGATGGCTGCAGCTCACTGGCCAGAACACTAACATCAAAAATAGGCTCCCCCAGTCTGCATTTTTTCATTGTTACATGTAATGAGCTGACCTCCATATCTTTTTCATGGACTCTCACCTTGCCACTGCCCACCTTGTACTTGTACAACTTGGCCATCAATTTGTATTCATGGGTGATGCATGTGGCCAGAGCTTGTTCTGCATGAAAGACTTCGCATTGTGCATGTGCTACATTGAGAAGGAGAAGTGCCTTGTGATTCAGCTGACTCTTTGATTCATGCTGCAGATTGAAAACCTATCAATGAGCGGTTATTAGGAAGGAAAAAAAGAACTTACTGTGTGAGTGGATGACTCCAATATTCCATACATCTCAGCTAAGACACCAGTTGTCTCCACTTTGACCTCAGCACTGCTAGAGGGACTGTTTCAGGAAGAGAACCTGCCATCATGAGGCTTATGGGGCAGTCCTTTGCCACCCAGGCAATGCTTGACTGTGGGCATGGTCGATCCAGCATGAAGGTGTGTATGATTGAGGTTATAAATGGACATGAGTGACTATGTTCACAAATGGGATGTGATTGGGTAGTATATGAGAAATACACTCTGTAGTGATCCAAACAACGTCCTGATTTGCACTGAAGTGATAATCATGTAACATGGAATTGGCCTGCCTGACCATCTAGAGTATGCCCCACTGTCCAAGTTGTGGTAAAGGTGGCTTCCAGAGTCACAGTGCTGTTGCAATGCACATGAGCCAGCCATCCTCTGGGTGCAATACCTGGGTCAATAACTTAGTCTGCCTTCACGAGTCTCTCCAACCATTGAGCTTGAACATTTGTAACTCTCAACACCCAACACACTTAGAAGATGTCCTGATGAGCACTGACCCTGGTGACTATGCAACTCATGATTACCTGGATTTTGTTCATATGGCATTTGACATGTGGGGGCCAACCACAGATGACTTTGAGGGTGCAGCTAAAATGTTTGGACTTGGCCCAACATTTATGGACAAATTTAACAGCAACCAGTTCAGCAACCTATGGGCATCAAATCTGTACTACCCCTTCAACTCCCACAATGAATGGGAGCTGGCATCATGGTTACTTCGTTCAGGCCTGAGCATGAGAGCTATAGACTCTTTCTTGTCATTGTCAATCATAAGCCTGTCCCTATTCTCTCCAAAGATCATTATTGATGTGCACCAGATACAGCTACTAAATATTTCCTTTTGTACAGCCAGAGCACTTTGTGGGCTGGCTGAGTTACTCCCTGGCAGGCCATGCTGGCACTCAATGGAGATTACTCCTCCGCAGCCAACCAAACACCCTGTGCACTTGTACTGGCATGATCCCCTGGAATGCATTGTGTGGCTCCTCAACCACCCTTTGTTCTCTGACCAGCTTGATTTTGTTCTGAGGCATGTATACAGAGTGGATGACTGCTGATGATGCTTGGCATATGCAGGTATGTTTCCACTGCGAGTTATAGATCCTGTTATTCAATTGATGTACCCCAGTCACAGCTTCTGAGCAGAGCGACTCTTCTTGGCACGATACTTTCTTCAGACAAGATGAATATTACTACTTTATGTGGTGGCAGAGTTGCTCATCTACTTCTTGTCAGCCTAGAAAATATCAAGATGTCCACATGCCTAAAATTGTCATCCAACTCATTTATGCTCACTGCTCTCCTCCCCATCCCCAAGTTTGTGCACAAGAACAAGTGTATGCATGGCCTCCTCGAAGATAGGCTCATTCATGAATGCCTGGATATCATACTTGAACCCATCAAGCAAGCTGCCAAACTTGGCATTATGTTACCAGATTCTCTGGGGCACATGCAGTACTGTTTCATGCCAATCACGGGTTATATTGCCAACACTCCTGAGGCTGCCATGCTTGCAGCTGGCGGGGGAAAGACTTCCCTGATCACCATGGCGATGTACAAACAGTTTGGAGACCCATTCTGACATGAACCACAAACTGTGTCCACCACTTTGGCTCAGCTCACAGCAGTGAAATTGAAGGTCCACCCTACAAACATCCAAGTCTTCTTTCACAAAGCACAGCACTTTCACCTCAGCAGAGTTAGTGACCCATTTTGGAGGGACATTCTGCTTTCTTGTCCAAGCACTTTTATAACTCTGGAGCCCCTTCACCACCTGCACAAGGAATTTTGGGACCATGACATGAAGTGGTGCATAAATGTGGTTGGTGAAGCCAAAATCAACTTTTGCTTCTCAGTTTTACAGCCTACTGTGGGGTTCCATCACTTTAAAGGTGGTGTTGCTAAGCTGAAGCAGGTGACTGGACATGTGCACCATGATGTACAATGTTACATTGTCAGTGTTATTGCTGGAGCAGCCCCTCCCAAAAATATTACTGCTATTTATGTGCTCATGGACTTCCGATACTGAGTCCAAGCTTACCACATTGATGACAACAATCTTTGTATAATATCTTCTGTACTGGATGAGTTTCATGTGCACAAGCAGTTGATACTCGATCATGGTGCATGATGTGGTAAGGGAAACAAGCCCATCAACAATTGGCACATCCCCAAGTTAGAACTCATGCAGAGCATTGTACCAAGTGTGAAGTGTGTTGGGGTCACCATCCAATGGACTGCTGATGTAACTGAACATGCCCATGTATTGGAGATCAAGACACCCACATCAGCTAGCAATAACAATAACTACAATCCTCAAATTTGCTGGTACCTCAATCATGCTGAAAAATGTAGGACATTTGAACTTGCAACATCATTATATGAATCGAAGACTCACTCCCATGGTCATGTGGAAGAAAAGTCCTTGGAGGTTGAGGATGGGAGTTCTGATGATGGCAACAGTGAGATCAGTGATTGTGAGGAGGTGAATCTAGTTTCCAAGATGCCAGGTCCCACGCAGCCTGTCACCAATTACTTTGCCATCTCTGCATGCCTCAGGACCCAGGATCCAGACTCCATTCCCTTCCCCTTGCATAGTTTTATTGCAGATGGTATGGCAATCAACCTTTCCTACGACCCACCCTTGCGATGCATTAGTGTTGATGGTGCTGCTGAGAAGTTTGGACTACTTGACCTCTGAGCCACCCTTGTTGATTTTCTAAATTGTGAGAAGGTGTATGGACCAAGCTCTGTGCACACTATAAGCAGGCAACGTCAGGGATCAAGCTCTTCAACCCTGCCTTTTACCAATCTGCAGGTTTGGTACAAGATGCAGCTGCAGAACATGGCAATACATGATATCACGGACATCCTCCCTGCCCAGACTCTCTTCTGTTCTCCACCTTGCAAGACCTGGACCCTTGGCCACTATGATGCAGCTATCATCAATGTGGACCCCCATTTCAAATGGCCAGAGAGCAGCCTGAAAGGTTCATGGTCCACACTACTTTTCCATGTCACTCACAAGAGTATCTTAGGTCATGTTGTTGGCCAGCTCCATCTCCTGATGTGCCCTTTTGGCAAGAGGGGGGTAAGATGGTTGTGGACAGACCATTTTTTGGTCTACATACAACATTTTGACATAGCAGCTGAAGATGTGACACACCTACATATCCTTAGGTGTGCTGTCACACACCAAAGGTGTTTGGTAAGGTGGACATGGATGTAGCTGATGAATGGAGGTGAAGACCATAGCCCTCATGTGAAGAAGGACAGCCAGCAATGTCGGCAGTCATCCCTTGCACAAGAACAAGTTGTCAATGCCAAAGAAAAAGGAGGAGGCAAGTTAAGCACCAATAAAATTCTTAAGTGCCCGTGTATGGCATTCTGGTTTTTGATGTATCTCCACCAATTCTGCAGACACCGAAACCATTCCCACACTCGCTTGTAGTGCTCAGCCACGTGATCCTACCTTCCAAGATTGGAAAGGATTTGTGCACTCCACACATTTCTACAGCACTCCCTCCAAAAGACGCTCATTTCGCTAATTCTTCTGATATGGCTGCCTCCACATCAGTCATTTCGCTTGTCCCCTTTGCTAGGGACCATGGCTACATATATCTACCAGGAGTTCCTACCAGCTTCCATCCTGAAGCATCCTGGTACATCCCACCCTCATCTGCCCCCTCTCAGCCCATCCAGCTTGGACAGCATGTTCTTTTTGTCAGTATGACCTCCAGGAGGATGTTCTTTGGTCACCTCAGGTCTGTCATTTGCTTGGAAAGGTCTTATGTGGTCGTTTCAGTCTCTCTGGTCCAAGAAGCATATGGATCCTTCCTCCCTGCCCCCTGCAATGTCTTCATACCAGTCTTGTCCATCATTCTTCCAAAATTGTGACAGCTACAGTATAATCTACTGTTCTCCACTCTCCCTGATCACATCCATGATGAGTATGATGCACATCTTGCCTCCTTGTTGCAAGATACAGCAGAAGACACTCCCCCTTCATCCTCTCTTCCAACAGAGCCTCATTCATGAAGTTTTTATTTGCTTCACTGAGAGGATGGTTTGGGGGGGAAAGTTGCAATCCCCTATGCTCCTGTCACCCCACAGACCCCCAAAGCTTGACCCCTGTTGACATCTGACTCACCCTGTCTGCTTTTGGATGTACTATATCAGCATCAGATCAGCACTGCCTCTCTGTCATCCCACTTTGGCCTAGAAGTGATCTCTTTGAGATGTGACATGCACAGCCTCCCCCTGATGTGATTCCAGTGCACTTTCCCAGTTCCTGACATTGCTTGACTCATACTGTGACATTCTGACTGTCTTTGACTCACCTATTGCCAATACTTACCAATCTTTTGACTTTGCTTACTGATTCTTCGCTTTTTGGCTTACTTATCCTTACCAATGCTTACCAATGCTTTCCAAGACAATTACCCATCGCTTACATTCCTTACTCATCAGTTACCAATCACTTACCAAGTGTTTGCACCTTGTTTTCCATAGGCAATGCCCCTGTACTGTATATAAGTCACTGTACTTAGGTAGCAAAAAAAAAAAAGAAGACATCAGAGAGCCCCTCTTGCTCGCAATTTATCATCTCTCAGTAAATCATTCATCAGCTTCGATAGTTGAGACTTTATTAAGGGTCTAGCTATCATCTACTTCACTTATCATCATCTATCATCCATATACTTCGCTCCAAGCCCTCCCTGAGCTCAGTACAGCTTAGGACATCAAATTAAGTCACCATCCATCCTTCTGTAGGCTGACAGCAGTCTACCCTGTCGCTTTCTATCACATTCTTGCTCCCTCTTCGTCAGGAGCACCCCCAACCCTCAGCACTCATCTTTGAGTGTTGTAGCTTGCAAAAACCCTCCCAAAGAACAGGTTCTACCATCTAGGTACCGCATAGGCACACCACCACTTGCTTTCATTGTCTTTTGTGTTGGTTTTGGTTGGTTTTCACCACTGAACCACACTTTGACTCACAGCACAAAGAGAGCGAATGGCCAACATCTTGGTGATGTCATCCCACTCAGTCAGGTCCAGGCATTCGCACATCTCATACCTTGCTTTGGGCAAACTGCAGATAATTGATTGATGGCATACAACTCCTTCAAGCATTCTACTGAATTCTATCTCAACAAATACTTCAACAAAAATATGTACTTTGCCCTAAGTCATTTGGACTCTCCTCCCATCTAGTCAACATACATGTTACCTTACCATATACCAGAGCTTATTACATGTTAATGTTGAAATGCATCAGTATTTTGAGTGGTGGCACCATTTTCAAATGTGTGACCCTACTTGTCAACAACCCTCAGAAATGTCCAAAGACTCGAACAAAAACAGATATCAAACAATAGATGGTACCTACAAGCTGATCAGTTCTCTCCCCCCACCCAAACACGGCCACATGGTTCATGTTATGGACAAGTTCACTGCTTCAGAACTTGAGGGCACCATCATCCATGAACCATGGATACAAGTTAGCTCTCCTCAGAGCCTTGGTTATGTTACAAATATTATCTTCGAGTCCTTCAGAGATACATTTACCTCCATAGCTCCCAGGTCCCTGATTGTCCCTCTGAAAACAATTCCCACATGTGTCCATAGCTATTCCACCTCCTTCAACCAGGGTGGCTTGTCAGAGGACAGCCTGGTCAGCCTATACAACAATGATAGAAAGCGCTGGAACTGGGAGCTTCATCCACCCCCAGGCTCTGATTCACCTCCCAAGCAACCTGGGCCACTTGCCTCAGAGCTGCCAGTAGAATCGGAAAAGCTCTGCTTTGAAAAGTAAGTTGCTCTGTTTCTCAATGCTATCGGGACTGCTGCCAAATCCATGATGCCCAGTCTATCCAGCAAACCCCAGCATCAATGGATGGCAGACTGGAGCAGAACCAGCTTGCAAGGTTCTACAGGTTATTCCTGAAAGCCTGACCTCATCCTTGTTGATAACACCCCAGTATCCCTTGATGAGATTATGTGGTTAAGTCCCAAAGTCATCACTGAGTACTCAAAGGAGTCTTTCAAGCCAGCATCCCACCTTGGGAAGATGATGGACACTAAGGCATATCTAACCCTTGTCGACCAGCCCTGGAGGCACTATGTCCTTGGATTATCAATTACTGATAGTGAACTTCAACTTCACTTTTATGACCACTCTGGTGGTGCAATCTCACCCTCTATCAATATCCACACTGATGCAGAAGTCTTCATATACATTGTATGTGCTGTTGTATTCAGCTCCCACTCAACCCTTGGCTTTGATTTGACCATAGAGATATCCCCCCATCCTGCACACAGCTGCAAATGCACAGCACTTGTGATACCCCTCTCCCCTTTCCCCTCTCCTGCAATGCCTTCTCCTCACTTGGAGTCAGGCATCCTCCCCAGTGGAAACTCACTCCTGACTCCTGCATCACCCAAACACATCCCAGCAATTGGGAGGATCCAAGTAAACAAGACCTTCTACAAGGTGCTCAATGTATTATTCTTGAGCACAGGCTTTCTAGGAAGGGGTACTGTTTGTTACCTTGCATGCTACAATGGGGAATACTATGTCATCAAGGATTATTGGGTGGAGGAGTCAGAGCAGAGGACAGCCCTGCATGAAGTCAACATGATGAAGCTGGTCCACAACATTGACAGAGTTCCCAAGTTGCAACACTACTGGGTCATCAAGGTTGAGCTGGGCATTGTCAATAAAACTGAATGATATTGTGATGAGAAGTGGCAATCATGCATGAAGTCTCAGAGAACTCACATGCGATTGGCTATGAAGCCATGTGCAAGGCCAATGGTAACATTCAAGACAAAAAAGGAACTCATTTCATGCATCCAAGATATTTTACAAAGTACATATCCTCTTCCACTTGTAAAATCAATACTAATTACTTTAACAGTCTAACAGCAGGCTCTCGAGAGGGGTGTCCTCCATCGAGATTGTAGCATCAACAATGTGATGATTGAGGACTTTGCAAATGGGTTGCGCAGCTTTCTCCTCAACTGGGAATTTGCTGTATGGGTCACGTTACAGGGGGAATATGACTTGGGTGGCACAGTAAGTACTACACAAAACATTTTGGAACTCAAAGCTGATAGTACACAAAGGGGACAGTCCCCTTCCTTTCAGTGAATATCCTTTGCCAACTCAAGGAAGCCATCACTAAAAGTGGAAAGACTAATGTCCCATTGATCTGGAAAAGCGCCTCTCTCACCTGTGTATTCATCGATCACCCTACTACTATACACCATACATTTGCAGACGATATCAAATCCCTGTTCTACATTTTCATCTGGATCCTCATCCTTTATGATGGGCCACTTGGCCATGAGCATCAAGATATCAGCCATGAAAGGACACTTCTTGGCTTGTGGAGTGAAAAGGTGGCTGAAGATCTCAAAATCGCCAGATGCACCAAGTTCACATTCCTTAATGACCCATCCAAATCGAGGCTGGATTCTGAGGTCTCACAATATTTTCAAGATCTAATCCCTCTGGCTAATGAGTGGTGTGTATTGCTTGGGCAGTCTCTGCTGAGTGGAACTGCAGTGCTGTTCTCTGACATTATCTCCCTTTTTGATCGTTTCTTGGCCAGCATGCCATACAAGAAACCACTAGAGATGACAAATGCATTCCAGCAGATCATTGCCCAGCACAAGGCGCTTAATTCAAGCATGCATCCAAGTCAGGAGAACGATATGGATGTTATGTCTTTGGCAATTATGTCTTCTAAACACCTTTGTGAAGAGGTAAGGAGCATGGATAACCCTCCTATACCCAATAAACACTTCAAAGGCATGTAGTCTTAGCATGAATTTTATGTTTAGTTCATGTTCTGTGTGTTATGTGTAAAGTGTTTCAATTCATTTGCAGCAAGTAACTGTCTCCACACATCATTTTGTTTTATGTCTTGTGATGAACCTGTCAATGTTTATATGGATTCACAAGATGTCTCCATCTTATACTGTTCTCTGTTTAACTGCTTGTACCTTCAGATGTCCACCAGGGCTGCACATGCACTTTCTAACCCATTCCCATCGAAATCTCACGACCTCAACCTCTCCATAACAGAGGCACTCGTCACTGTTGTCATTGAGTGGAATCAACATGGTGTGCAATTTGAAGATGGTGAGTAACAATATTTTCGCTTTATACATGTCTCGTTATCCTAACTTTATAGGTTACTGGCCTGACCACAAGCAAGATATGGCATGCCTCATGAGTAGTCCTGTCTTTTGGTTACAGCTACTGACATACTGCCAGTAGCTCCTTGGTGATATATTTTGAAGGATGCTGTAGGTATCCTCAGTAGTGCAACAAGCTACTGATGTATTAGACCAACCTGTAGGTATCCACAGGATATCAGTAAGTATAATACTGGTGGTGAAAGTGAGCTTACCCTCAGTAGTGCAACAAGCTACTGAGGGAACAGTGAATAAACTACTGTAAAATGTGCGCTCTAAGGTGATTATGTAAGCACCCAAACATCGCACCAAAGTGAGCAGAACACAGGGGAGAATATATCTCCAACAATATATCTACCTGGTGTTCAGAATTGAAGTTGGTTACACTGGCAACCATGCCATCCATGTTCAACCTTATCCCTCCTTCTGATGTTGCACCACAGGTTCATGTACAATGGATAGAGACCGCTGCCACAAAGCTCCTTGACAACTCACTTTTCCTGCAAGACAGTTTTGATGAGAATGTACATTCATGCGGTTTGTTGTCTGCACTACTAACAGATTGGTTCATCAGGGAAAAACCAGGAATTTCACTCACCCCACCCTCAAGGAAGCTGTCATACAATTCTACTATATTGGGACCTATTGAATCATGGATAAGTGTCCTGAGTCCTTCAACAATTCAGTTCCCCTTTCCTGTCTGGTTCTTGTCGCAGCTGCAGTGAGTTATTTTACACCCTGAGTTGCTGCAACTCAAACTTTTCTCACAGTATCATTGTGTGTTGGACGGATTTGCAAAGAATGGCACAGGAAAGATGATGCCTCAATTCTCCAGCAAGGCTTACAATTCCATTTTCCATGGCATGATGAAGGTGCTGAACAACATCCTTCATAATCCCTATCACAGCACGAGGTTGCATGATCAGCTTTCTCAGTGGGCAAAGGAAGGAAGGATGGTAAGTACTGGGGTGGCTGACATGCTTGTGCTGACTCCTTGTATCAGGGCTGCACTGCAAGAGGTTGATTTGAATGTAGAGAGGTACCAGCACATTCAGGCAGTCCTTGATTGATTTCATAATACCTAGTCCTGTTGTACCTGTCATTACATGTAGTATGCAATTGATGCCAATGCTCCTGTTCCTGTCATACCTGCTGTGAACTGTTCCTAGTTGTGGAGTGATCACATGTTTGCAAAGTAAACATTGAGATGGGGAGTACTGGACAACACCCCAAGGAGAATACAGTCTGGCCAGTTTTGTACAGTGATATCTAAGCATGAAAGTTCCATAGCAATCCATAGTAAGTAAGATACTGGACAAAGTTCCATGACAATGTGACCATTCCATAGTAACAGGCAACTAGCCATAGCAAAAAGTGTTGTTGGGTGCATCTGTCCAGCCTGGACCTAGCTAGGGGACTCTGTGTATTATGGAGCACTGTGGAGAGCTCCACAGCTCAAAGTGATTTACTGATGTGTCATGGCAGAAACAAGCATAGTGCAAGTGATGCCAGTCAGCAGACATCCAATCAAACCTGCCATGAAGTCACTCACATCCTGTCATGATTTATACAAGCACAGTGCAAGTGAGATCAGTCAGTGGATATCCAGTTAAACATGCCATGAAACACCTCACAGCCTGCCATGCCACAATGATGCATACCATAAATGCAATCTGTCAGTGACCATTCTGACAATCCTGCCATGCCATCACTTACCAACTGTCATACCACACCCAGACATAATGCAAGTGACACCAGTCAGTACACCTCCACTTTCATCTGCCATGAAGTCACTGACTGTCTATATCACAAGATATGCACTGTGCATGTCAGTTCACAATGTGCAGATAACCATGCCATGAAATCCCATACTTCCCATTATGCCACCAACATGACATGGAGGATCCAAATGAGGTCAGTCAACCTTCAGCCAACCTTACATGGAATCACCCACAACCTGTCAGGTCAAAAAAATGCAAGGCATGTGCACCACCAGTCAGTAGACAATATAGCTGTCCCAGTTGTAAAATTACTCATGAACTTTTATGCCAAGGATTTGTACAGAACACATGAGGATATACATTGAATTCAGTAACTACTGTGGCATCACAAACAGACACTCACATCATACTTGGGAAACTAACTGAGCAGAAAAGATTCAAAAACTTTTATGTCATATCTTTCCCCTCCCTCAATTACCCTTTTGATCATTCCCCTCACCACCCTTCAGAATATCAGAATTTGTGATGAGCTCACACTGCTGGCTTACCAGTTTACAGCATATTCAATACATAATCCAATGCTTGACTGCTGGGTTGATAGAAGTAACCTCTGTAGGCCTTCCTCATTCAATGCAGATGCTGTGCACTGGATCAAAGTAGTGCAATCTGCACTCTCATTATGCATCTCTGTTGAGAATTCTTGCATCAAGTATAACCATCTGCCACAAATGCAGTACTTACTTGTCAGTGGGAGATACATCTTTGGTGGGAATTTGCACTTGTCCAGTATCTGTTTGATGTGTGTCTGCCACTTTTCTAATAACAGGGATTCCCTTTCTGTGGCCCTTTCCTCTGCTTCCTCCATCTCCAACCCTTCATCCAGAAGTTCCTCAATGGCAGCAAAATTCAATGCATCTGCCTTTGCTAGCAGCACTACCACTGGGACTATGAAGTTCCTGATCAGTGACAGCCACATTTCCAGAAGTGGACATACCATGTCCTGTGTCACACTCATTGAAGAACTTCTGTTCAGCTGCAGTGACTGTCCTGTGGTAGTCAGTCATGGGGATACAATACCTATGTATACCTGATGGTTAGCTGAGTCAATAACCATCCCCAAGGCAATTCTTACCAAATTGCATGAATATGTTTCTGCAGTGTCCTTGCAGCTGCATGGTCCATAACAAACTTCTTCATCTCCTCAAACTGCTCAGCAGATCCTGCCTCAAACCCTAAAGAGTCATGGAATACAGAACCTGGGTTGCTCTTGAACACTAGCTCATGTTCAATGTTATGGTAACCATGCTAGAGGTAATCAGCTGTAACTTTAATTGCTGTAATCTGAGATGGTGTCTTACCCCTAGAGTGCCTTGCACAACATCATCATCAATCTGCAAATTGTCAGACAAGTGTCTAGAACTCCACACCAACATACCTTGTTTCCATATCTATCAAAAGTATCAGGTTTGTCTACAGAGTTGCAGACCCTCTGGAGGATGGTTGTTTTGCCAGCATTTCCTCTTCCAATGACCAAAACTTGAAACTTCTTAATACTTTCCATGTATTTCTTGGCCTTTTGAGGATCCATATGAAATGTAACAGGTGAAGGAGTTGTTTCTGTTCCATGACATTAAGATCATCAACATCCACCAAATAACAGTAGTGTCAAGTTCATGTGGTCTGGGTTGAGGCTGGACCAGAGACTGAAGTGGGTGCAAGGCCAAGGGGTTGGGATCAGGAGGAAAGACAAAGATACAAAGGTGTGGGCTGATTGGACTTAGTGACTGAGGACACAGTGCTATTCCCTTGCATGGGTCACAGTCTGAGTCCAAGGCTGAGGTGGTGTTATCAGAGTAACTTAGTTGATTTCAGACTGAAGAGTACAGGTTGAGTATCTAAGAGTTTATATACTAGAGACAAACTATAGTATGGAGATCAGTAATGCCAGTCTCACAAAGATTGCTAAGATGATTGGTAAGACTAGTATTAGTAAGGTATGACTAAGGTGACAGAGACCAGGACAGGGCAAACTGGGGACAAGACCAGGCAGGGTTTAACCAAAGTGGCAAGCACTGCAAAGCAGTGTTCACCATGCTAGAACATCTGGGGATAAGTGACTGGCAAGGCTGAGGCCAGACTGAATGAATGCAAGGCCAAGTCCAGCTGGGGTCAAGACACAGTTATGACAGTATCCCCCTCTTAGGGATCAAACCCATGAGACCCCTGCAAGAGTGGTAGGCTGAGTCCAAACTTTGGCTGAGTTCAAAAAATTGATACTTGTGGCCTGCTAAGTCCTTTGCATCTTTCTTCTGCATCCCATCTCATTATGTCCAACTCAAGACTGATTGTTGCTGCCAATAACAACAACAAGGGCTGTGTCATTGTCAACTGGACCCAAGTACCCAACAATGAAATTAGGTATGACACCAACAATGAGGAAGAAGTGATGAAAGCCAAGTCGAAGGAAAGGAAGAGATGAAAGGCAGCTGAGCAAGTCCAGCAGGAAGAACCAGCTCAGCTTGAGGCCAAGAGGGTGGAGAGGGAGAGGGCTGAGGCTGAGGAGAGGACAGCACATGAAGAGGAAGAGAGATGTGAGGCCAAGCACAAATGCAAGGCTGAGGCCAAGAAAGGTGATGAAACTGGGGCCAGTGGTAGTGAGGCCACTGAGGTGAAGAAGGTGGTCATGGACCCCAGGTGAGTCCCTTTCCAATCTTGTGTGTACCCCTCTTGAAGACTTTTTCAGTTGTACCTGCTGTGCCTGGGCCAAAGCTGTCTGCAAGTTCATCATAGACAGTAACAAGAAGCATGTCATCTGTGTGTGTGATGCAACCAATCAAAAAGCAAGTGTCACTGGCCTGGGGATGGGAAGGATGCTGAGGCCAGTCCTAAGGCCACTGGGAAGGCCAATAAGGGGAAGAAGCAGAAGGCCAATGAGGAGAATGCTGAGGCCAGGCCCAGCAAACAGAAGTGGGCAAAGATGAGTGCAAGTACTCAGGCTTGGAAGACAAGCTCAAGTGCCTTATTGACATGGCAGGCTGATTGCCAACAATTTGGCCAGCCTGTTCAAGCTCCATGAGACCATGGTTGAGAATTCAGGTCACATTGCCAATGCACTTGAGTCCCTGCTCAATGAGTCATATGGCTTCAGGATGGTGGTGTCCCCTTTGGACTCAGGCTCATCTGAGCTTGACTCTGACAAGTTGTGCAAGGAAGCAGAGTGGCTGCAGGCTGAAGGTGAGGAAGAGGATGCCAAGGGGGAAGATGAAAACATGGCCAAAGCCAAGTAGTCATTGTAGTGTAGCAGTCTTGTTTTCCCTTCTGCCAATGCCAGGGGTCCAATCTTGGACTTGTATAGTAAAGTGAGAAGAACAAGAGAAAGGGAAACAGGGTAAGTAAGAGGTCAAAGGAAACTAGATACTGGTAGAGAAACAGAAAAGAAGTCAAGGCTGGTTGAGACCAGTCCTCATTGGTATGGGCTGGGTTTACCAGGGTAGTGGGAGTGGAACTCTTGCATGAGTTCAGAAGCATTGTTGAGCTCTGTAGCAAGTACCCATGTAGTTTCTTCATTGGTCCCTTCATAGCCAGTCCACCAGACCAAGTATTGTAACCAACACTGCCAATGCCAGTTGACCTTGGAGTTAAGGATTTTGGCCACCTCAAACTCTAGTTCACTGTTGACTTTGACTGGTGGAGGTGGTGGCTGAATCTGGTTCAGGATGGTGTTAGGGATGGCTGGCTCAAGTTGGGAGATGTGGAAGACCAGATGGACTGCGTGCATTGAGTCTGGCAGGCACAGTGTGAACAAATGGGTACTGGCCTGAGCTATGACTGGATACAGTCCAAGGTTCTTCTCTGAGAGCTTGTTGGAAGGCCAGGTTGACTGGAAGTACCTGGCTTTGACATATACCTGGTCACTGACCTTGAAGTCCAGGGCTGGCATGTGTTTGGCATCAGCCAGGCCTTGGTATCATTGTTGGGTGAGGGTCATCTCCTCATGTAGGTATTGGTGCAGTGGGTCTAAGTCAACTGCATAATCATGAGCCCAAGCAGAGGTAAGGTTGTGCTCTGGGTATACTGAGATGTTAGGGTGGTAGCCCTTATTAGCAAAGAATGGTGAGACACCAGTAGTAGTGCTGGGGCCATTGTTGTAAGTGAACTCAGCCAAAGGTAAGAGGTCAGCCCAATTGTCCTGCTGGTAGTTGCAGTACACTCAGAGGTACTGTTCAAGAGTCTGGTTGGTCCTCTTGGTCTGGCCATCACCTTTGGGGTGATAGCCTGAGGTGAAGTGTAAGTGTATGTCCAGGGCCTTACTGAATGACTGGAAGAAGCATGAGACAAACTCCAAACCTTGGTCTGAGGTTACATGGGCCAGCACTCCATGCTTTGAAAAGACATGGAGTAGGAAGAGTTTGGCAAGTTCTGGGGGCATGATGGTGTTGTGGGTGGGGATGAAGATGGCCTGCTTGGAATGCTGGTCAACTACTATGAGGACAGCCATGAAGCCAGATGAGGCCAGGAGTTGCTCAATGAAATCCATAGAGATGGAATTCCATGGCTTTTCTGGCACTGGGAGTTGTTTGAGAAGGCCATAAGGCTGATGGCAGGGAACCTTAGCCCAAGCACAGGCCATGCAGGACCAGACATAGTCTTTGACAAATGTCCTGAGGCCAGGCCAGGTGTACTCATGCCATATGAGCTCTAGTGTGCAGTTTTGGCCAAAGTGGCCAGACAGGGGGTGGTCATGATTGAGGTGCAAGACTCTAAGGCAAAGGTCATTGTTACATTTCACCCCTGTCTTTCTCTTTTCCTCCTCATGGTGACCATGTGTTTGATCTGATGGACTACTTTTCCTTTTTGAGCCATCTTCTCTGTGATCCAACAGCTCTCTATTACCACCACTAGTGTTGTTTGCTTGGTATATGCTTGGGACATGTGTTGCCATTGTTCAACCAATGGTGTAGTTACCTCAATACATGTGGATGCCTTATGGTCTGTTTCTTGTACAGTATTTAGTCTGTTGGCTCAAGTCCTGGAAACCCAGACTTGAGCTGCTCAATCATATGCAGCGTTCTCTCAGAACTTTGCCCTCAGTGTCCCTAACCCAGACCACTCTTACCAGTGTTGACCAAATCCTCTGTCATTTACAGAGGTTACTGCAGCCATTGCTCAGTAGAAACCCATTGTCTGTGTTTGAGCTCTCCCTACATCTTGACTTCAGTTGAGCATAACAAAAGCTCAAGTCTACCAGCCTTTGGCCAATTTGGTCACTGTTTAGTGCACCACCATGAAACCCCAAAACAATCGACATTGGGTGCCATTGCAACCCACTTGTGAAGAATCATCATCTGATGAAGAACAGGAGAGCACTGTCACCAACACCTCCTCCAACAAACCTGAACAACCAGATAGAGGATTCACTTCTGGTATGCTCTCGAACCTCTTTACTCAGTCCCTTGCCATGCTTGGTACTCCCATCCCACCAGTACCCACCACCACCTTTCCTACACCCCTGCTTCCACCACAGACTACAATGTCCAGTTCATCATCAAAGGCAATGGTCGGCACTGTCACCACCAAAGCCACTGAATTGAAGATTGGTGCCCCATCTGATTTTGATGGCAACCAAAAGAATGCCATGAGTTGGCTGTACTCCATACAGACCTATCTCTTGGTAAACAAAGAGATTTATGACAACAACACCAAAAAGGTCATCTACACCTTGTCATATATGAAGAAAGGAGTTGCTTGTTCATGGGCAGCTACCTTCCAGAAGACCTCTCTGGAAAAGAACCCCCTGGGTTTTGGCACCTTCGCTGATTTCACAAAGGACTTCAAAAGTTCTTTTACCTCTTCTGAGACTGCTGGTGCTGCAATTACCAAGCTGCACACCATGAAACAGAAAAAATCAGTGGAACAGTACATCACTGATTTCCAAACCACTGCCACCAACTCAACCATCATGGAAGATGTCACATTGATTGAGTTCTTCTCACAAGGACTCAAACCCTTCATCACAAACTGGATCCATATGATGGAAACCACTCCAACCAAGATCACAGAGTGGTACACACAAGCACAAAAGTTTGATGCCAAATGGAGGAAGGTAAATGAACTTTCTGGAAAGAAGGAAAAGAGGATGTTCTACCCCAAGAACAACCTCTCTGAAGAATAAGATCCTAATGCTATGGACATGGATGGAGTGAGACTCTCCAAAGAAGAAAGAGACTGTCACATCAAAGAAGGAAGATGTTTCAGTTGTGGCAACAAGGGACACCTCTCACAAGAATGTCCCAATAAAGGGAAAAACCCCCAGAAGAAAGTAAAGAAAATCTGCAAAGTCATGGAAATTGAAGAAAGTGACAATGAAGAAAAAGTCACTGGTCC